TGAGTCAATAAATAATTGTTTATAAACAATTTAAATATACAGAATATAGCTATTATAGTTAATTTTTATTTATTAATTATTGTACATAGAAACGCAAAAACTATAATGTTTTTATATGATTATTGAATATATATCTTGTTATTTTACGTTATTAATACTACAATAGAATGAAATTAGTACTCTTATAATTCAATAAATAATTGTTTATAAGCAATTAAAAGTAATTAATATATGTACTAACGAGCTTATTACTTGAAAACTTGTGAAAATAAAAATTATTCAGTTAAGTCCATAATATTTTATAGATATAATTCAGTAAAATTTTTCTAAAAAAAATAAGTAAATCAATATACCTGTTCCGCTTCTATAATCAAATTCGATATTCAATAAAAATTATGGAGAGGTTTCGAAGAGTAATGAATTGTAACAACAAAATTTTTATTTATTTGTAATTTATTAAATTTTGACCGACCATACAACTGTTTCGAGTATCACTAAATGCACATCATCAGTGTTCTTGTAATATTTTCTTATAGTTAATTATTTGTAAATAATTTTTTGAGACTGCGAGTACCAGGGATTGAACTTCCAATCTACCAAATTTGAAACCACTTTATTATATATAATAATTTGTGAAGCAATACTCGCAACCGTCATAACTGGTGTTGACATCAAATTTAATATGAAATATTATGGAGGAGAACTATATTGCCAGTTCTTTTCCAATGCCAGTTCGGCACTCGAAGATGTGAATTTGTTGGAATCGTTCATACTCTGTGAATGGTTATATATGTTGTTATTGGGTTGACTCTACAATAATATAACCATTGATACAGCCCAAAAAAATTTTTATAAAACGATATAACAATGATAAACATTAAATAAAATAAATACGAACTTAATGTACTATTACTTAACTTTAAACATAAGTAGTAACAAAGGTCACTTTTAATACAAAATCTGCACAAAATTCATATAAAATCTATATGCAAATCTGATAATGAGGTTTGATGATTGTATAGTAAGTGTGAACATTGTGTTAGCTACAAATATTTATTAGCATAATTTGTTATTTATTCAGACAATTTACACTTGTAAAAATATAACTTGCATAGGCAGTGTGTGTCTAGTCTCAGATTTATTTTCTCAAACTCTAATTAGTTAAATACATAATTAAATTTGATTTTAAAATATAAATAATGATTATTTTTTGTAATTTATATATTATAATATTTATAATAGAAATATATTGAAATACCTATGAAAGAGTGTGTCAAATATCATAGACTTATATTAGACAGAAAATTTATATGAACATTTAATATAGAGGATAAAATAAGAAAAGTCAGCACTGTCAAAAAACGATAATAGTTTGGGATTAGCTTCAGAAATTATGTACTTCATATTTCTCTAGATTTGTATAGCCAGGCATATTCTGTTGTATAGGATAATGGTGGTCAGAAAGAAAGGAATGGCACTGAAATTCTATACAACTAGTTGCTAGCTTTACAATAGATTTGGTATAGAGATATATATTTACTTAATGGTTTTATTCTAACTTAAGCTTAAATAATATCAGTACCGTTTTTACGGTATATCTAATATGGGAATTTAATTATCATAGTAAACTAGTATACACTACTTACTAACCTTCGCCTGAGCATAGACTCAAGTTGTATTAAAATGTTTATCATAAAGCTTAATTTACTGTTGCAGAATAGTAACGTTGAAAAGACTCACAAGTCTTAAGCAAATGAGTGCAATTTTTTGACGTCTAGGCTAAAGTAGGCATCACTTGATGGTTGAAAATCAAATGAAGTAGTATTCATTTTTCCGACGTTGAAGATATCCTCTATCGTCAAGGTCGTGGCTTATAAAAATAGTCGGAGTCTATTTGCCTCATATTCTGTCAGGCTAGGATAACTCTGCTATAAGTACTGTGGTGATGAGATAGAAAAAGAATTATTCGAAACCTTAATTGTAGATACTTTAACCAAATGTGAAAACTCTCATAAATCAATAAATTTTACTTGAAAGATCCTGCAATAATTTCATATAATTTTATTTTTGTTATAGATGCCAAATGTCCTGTTTTGATGTCAAAATTTTCCATTTTAATTAACTTTGACTAGATGTTTGAGTTCAAAAACTTTTAACCACCAAAAAAGCTGGAAAGCTTATTGACATCACACTTATATGTAAAACTGTTGGTGACATTTGGTGTCCAAATTTCATACAATGTTGCGGTAGTTCCAGGATTTAATTCACGGCACTAATGCTGCCATTTTTGCGGTTTTTACTGCATTTGAATGAAATAAATCAACGGGCTGTACGAGCACTTCACATTATTTCAGTTTTATTTCAAAGTTTTTAACAGGATATATGCAAAAGAGTGACATTTTTTAAAAACTTCATTATGTTTTAAGTTTTTAAATATAATTTATTTTAAAAAAATTAATGAAATAACTAAAAAATTGGTTTCTTATAGGAATGTGAACTTGAATTATTCGATTATACACTGGCTATTATTTCTAGATATAATATACAGTATCACAATAAAAAGTTAAGTGCAAAATATCGGTAGACTTAATGGTTAAATAAGAAGACATTCTAAGAAGTCTATGTAATTATCTGAATGTTTGTCTAAGCACCGTTCTATTTCTCTACTTATGTACATATCAGTTAATATATAAAAGAAGTATTTTCTCTGTCTTGCAAACTCATTGCAAGGTGCATGATATGCACAGCCTGTGCGAGTTTGGAATGAGCAACCACAAAATATACGCATAAAGTTTCTTGCAATTGCTTGCAATCTTGCTATACCTAAAGCCATGTGTATATGCTTGCAATGAAACAAAAAAGAAAAAAAACAGCTGTTTCGACATCTGTTACTTCTCATGTGAATGTGGTATACTGCAAACACAGCTTTTTGATTTTGAAGTTGCAATTGTGCAACAGAGGTGTTCTCACACTCTTAAAATTTTAGTATAGCATTCTTGCATTTCGTACACCTTGCAATGACCTGCAAGATAAGGATTGTTATTAGATTCAGATATATGAAGATTCTAAATAGATAAAATTCTGTGAATATATCAAATAGCACTTGAATATTTGATATGTTTGACTTCTACCTTATTTAGAACCATTAATAATTTGAGCGTGATTTGTGTGGCATTCACTGACTTTTAAAGTAAGTCTTGCCAAAAAAATGGAATTAGCTCTTGGACATTTATTAAGATGATTATTTACTAAGATTTCCGATGAATTCTAAATACATAGGTCAAGTATGAATAATGTATCTTTACACATGTGAATATATATTAACTATTGGTAAAGTTGCAATATAATCTTATATTTCTAAGGAACTTTAAGAACTAAATTTGTACATAATAATGTATAAGTAATATATAAGCTGTCAGTATTTATGGATCGTAAGAGTTGAAATGAATTTTTTTGCTTTAAATTTATTTTCTAAAATATATCAATTTCTTTAATTTTTTCCTACATAAAAAGATAATTTGTATTCAGCTCAGCTTAAACTTAAGCAAAGTGTGAATAACATTTTCTATTGATTTATAGCATAAAATTTTACATAATTTATAGTATGGAAAATTTTGTATGAAACAGTTACGTGTTCCAATCTTACATATATAAAGGATACTGCTTATCCTTTTGGAATATATGTGTGTATGAATTTCACGAGAGAAAAAGCAATGGTCAGATAGTTAAAGGATTTTGTTTGTTATTAATTTTTTTTATTAGTTTTTGCAAGTCATTTACAAAAAAAATAGAAAGATTGAGGTAAGAGGAAATCTAGAAAACAAATTTTTACAGAGATAGACGCGAATTGAGTACGAAACTTGAAGACGAGAGAGTCCACTACGGCACACTTGGAATAGTGAATTTAAATTGTATAGTGCTCAGTAAGCTTACCTATTTTAAACTTAGCCTAGTACAGAAATTGTTGTTCTTTTTTCTTCTAAATCTCTTCAAATTATTTATGATAACATAAAGTTTCTATTTCATAAACTTTTTTCTTTTTAAAAATTATAATGATAAATAAAATCTTTTTTTATTTATTTATTTATCAGCCATGTTTGCAAGTTAGATAATGAGCCATCGTGATTTGCGATATCACCAAGATAAGTTAGTCTGATAAAACAGAATTTTATTTCTGCTTAGAGGCGTATGAGATTATTAGTTGTTATCTCTATGACTGTCCGGCTTTGATCTGAGTCTGAAGAAGATAATTTATCCTAAAGTTTCTGTCTTCATCTGATTTTCTCAATAGTTGGAATTTTAACTATAGAGAAAAGCGGAATATCTTCTGTTAAAGCTCATTTTTATCCATAATATAAAAAATCTGAAGTAAAACTTAAATATAAAATTTCGGTATATTTCGTGTCCGGTTTTGATCTGACCCAGAAGAAGGCTGTTCGGTCAAAAGTAGCTATTCTCATCTGATGTCCACGTCAGTTGAAATTTCGGTTTTTATTCGAAAAGCGAAGTGTTCTCTGTTAAGGTCGGTAAGCAACACAAAAGATCAGCTATGGTCCAGAGTTTTGATCTACTTGAAGCCAGTACCCCATTTCTTTCGTATATTACTGTATTTATTTATCAGCACCAAGACTTTTGATCCAATGTGAAGAATAAATTTGTTGCACGAATGATTGCATATTCAGGAAAGTATAGTATTCTATTTTTTTTTCTTTAACCGATCGTGTAGCAGTGGAAATTAAGGACATAATTTCTAAACAAATTTTAATTATGCTTGCATCAAGTATCCGGAGTAATCTCGCAGTTTTAAATCTATTATGTAAACATTTCATTACAATTTGGGGTTCTACTCAGAGAGATATATTTTTAATATTATACTAAACAACATATTAAATTCGATGTATATGCGATACAATGTGTTTTTGGTATAAATAATTTCATTGTAATAAATATAATTAACATAGTTGTTAATGATTTTTAATTCAATGTATAAATATGATACAATTATTATAATCTCTAAAATCAAGGAGTATTTCTAATTTTCCAAACTTGCTGCTAATCTTTGTTAAAAGAAAATTATCGATATATTTTTGATATGCTACAATATAATTAGTTATCGAGTATTTATATTTCTGCGTTCTCCATCTGCTGCCGGTCTGCGAACATTAAAACATCGGTCATTCTTACAGGAGCCTGACAGGTTGGTGTTTTTTTATTAATAATATGTCTTTAATTTTGTTTAAAGATATTTAGATATTCATAACTATTTTGTGATCTTAATGATTTTTTTAAAAATATTTTAACAAAATGTAAATATGACAATTGACATTTTAATTAGTGTTACAAGGTTAGTTCCGATTTTATCTCGGAATAAGTGCTGTTTACTAAATTAATGATAAAATAAATAATTTAAAAAACTTTTAATTGTTATATAAATTAGTTACTAGTTTTTTTGAATAAATAACTAATACAGAAAGCTTTTGCTAAAAAGTTAATCAAACTATTTTCAAGGTTGCGGAGATTAGAAAAAAAGGTCTAAACTTATAATTTTATAGAGCAATTTTTGTTTCACTTCTGAAAACACACATAACTCTACATGGTGAATAATATATTTAAAGAGTTATTTTACTATAATTTAGTAATTGTTATTTTATATTATTCTCTATATCTATATATTTCCAGCCACATTGCCGTCTGACAAGAACAGAACTCTCTAGTAAATTCCAGAATATAGAACATTTCCTTCTCTCTCCTTTTTTGATAAGGTGAAAGGAAAGACGACAATGCACAGGAGAAATACCAGTAAAGAAAAACGGCAATTTGTCTGTTATTTCTTTCTCTCTCTTTCTCTCCCTTTCATAAACGATTGATAACTATTGTGAGAGAAGATTAGAGAGAGGGACATATTTTTGCTCTTATGTTGTTTTGTTTTGAACTTTCGCAATATATTAAATTTTTTTTTTAAATTTAAATATAATAAAATTTTAGATTGTATGAGTTGGTAACATTTTTTTTCAAAAAAAATTCTGTATCACTTTTGGGTTGGATTTTGTAAATGAGTTAATTTTCAGTTTTTCAAGCATTTAGAGAAGCTTACCTTTACGCTTTGAATCTGAAGAATTTTAAATATGTATGCCTCTCTTGCTTTGCATTTCCTATTAAGTCTAGAAATTTGATAAAGCATTATTATTTTGAAGCGATACTTGGTATCTCTTTAAGGTCTGTTTATATATTTTTTTTAAAGAATCTCTACAATTAATATTTAATTTCTTGTTAAAAATATAAGTATGTATTATTTATAGAACAGTTACTACTTCTTAGTTATATGGGAACTAAAGAAACAGATTAAAAGTATAAAAATTTTATGTAAAGTCTCAGTTGTCCAATTTTTGCTTGGAAATCATTTATCTTGAATATTGTATTTACCAAATTTTTTGAAGGACACGGTATGGCCTAAATTGTAATCCAAGTTATTTTTTTAACACAAATTTATATGATATAATTATATTTGAAGTGCCCTTATCAGACGATATAAAGTTAATACTAATATTTATTTTATTTTCATATCAGTTACGATAATAAATAGTTTTAAATTAAAATAACGTCATAAATACTTCATTATTATATGTACAATATTATGTCGATTATTATTATGAAATAATTTAAATTGGAAATTTTTATACGCTTTTGTTACAGTAATAATAAAATAAAAAAATTTATAAAAACTATCTATGATGACTGATCCGATGGAAATATTGCATCTTGCTTTAGAGTGTGAACACTCTGGTGAACCTGAGGAATCCATTCCTCTTTATCAAAAGGCAATTGATTTGTTTATTTCAGAAATGGAAAAGCAATCAACTCTGGCACAGCAGAATTTGTACTTTAATTTCATACTTAAATACATTGACAGGATTGAAGAAATCAAGAAAAAATTATCCAAAAAAAATAATGCAAAAAATCCGCAAGAAAATACTGCAGCTGAAAAGAATGTTGGCGTTGGGATAACTTATAATGATACTGTAGATGCATTAGAAATGTCAATTAACACAGAAGAAGAAGTCTCACTTGACACAGAAGAAGACATTACTGCCTCAGATGAAAGTTCAAATTCTTACTATTACTTGAATTCATCGGGAAGCGACACGTCTATTAATTCCGATCATGTTTCGTCAAACTAACTTATTTAAAATTTCTTTTCTGAGTTCAGAATAAATTAAAGTTTCTATGAAAAATCTATTATCTACTTAAATTAAGTACAAAAAACAATAAAATTGTAATGTAAAATATAATTTTATTATATTAAATACAAAGTAAATAAATAAATAAGCAGAACTTATGAATTATTTTTCCAGTCAAAGAAGTGATATATGTTTTGTAGAATAGCGAATCATTAATATTTTATAGTTAAAGATTGTATATATAATATATATACCATAAATACATGGTTTAATGTTATATCAATGTTCTGTGATATTTTTTGAGTTTTGGTAAATTCTGAATAAATTTTCATTTCATTACATTGTTATAATATTTATGGTATAGTATACTATGCATAAAGCCACGTGCATATAATTCAATAATGTCGGGAATAATACCATTTCTATTAGATTTTACAAAACCTATTAAGTAGTCTCTAATTATCATTAAGCAACATCCTTTTGCTTCTACTAAATTTAACAGCAATCGAAGCCGTTTTAGGTTTTTGCACCTATCGAGTATCGCAAAATTAGTTCTGGCTTTCAAAACAACAGTATAATAAAGGAGAGATTAATAGTTTATCATAAAATAAGAATTGTTAACTAAATTTTTGCTTATTTAGTGAATAATGTACCTAAGTACGACATCACAAGATAAGTCCTCTAAAGAAATCCTCAGAGATCTTTGAGGAGAAGACATGAGGAATTACATTAAAAAATAAAACAAAAAGGAAATTAAATGGATTGAAATCCATTTATCTATCCGATGAAAAAACTGATCGGATAGAGTTTCTATTTTAAGAATTTTGTTATGATCATATGATACTTGATGAAAAATAAATTCATAATCGCATATAGTAAAGAAATATAGTCACGGCTAGACATATGTAATTCCTTTAAACTTTATAATCTCTGTACAAATAAAGGACACAAATTGGTTCAGAAAATAATATAAAATTTCAAAAGTCCAAAATTCTGTTAAAAAAATATCGAAACTAATAATGATCTGATTGTCTAATGTTAAGACTATACGGACGGTATATACTTCGAAACTTTCTCCGTCAAAGTATCTTAGTTTTTATCAGGTGATGAAACATATGGAATATATGGAACCAAACTGTCTTTAACCTTGAAAAACTATGTATTTTATTTTGAAATTTCTTTTTTCAAATCATCTTTTACGCATGTGCATGGAAGTTATTGTGTAATCCTACCATATGCTATTCAATTTTCAACATGTACTCTTAAAATTTACTAACATAACTACTAGATTTCAAACATTATGGAAGCGACTTTTATGGATATTCGGTCCACTAAATTTTCTTATTATGTTGAGGCTAGTTGGGTTAGTGCACTTCAGCACTTTTACTCTCTATTAACTGCGAGGTTTCATCATAAACCCTCTCTACACCATCACTGGATTATTATTTATTACTACATCAGACTAAGCAATACCTGACCTTATATCTGCATATCTTCCCCAGGAGCCTGTTACCATTCTGAGATTCGATAGCGCAGTGTTGGTAAGCCTGCCTTTATGTATTTTTTGATCGAATCAATCTTGAGGTCACTGAGTATGTCATTCGTTCTAATATACCATGGTACCTTGAAAAGTCTTCTCAGCGCCTGGCTTTGTGCAACTTGTTTGTTATAAGGGTATTTTGCATAACTTTGGATGGGACAGGCTATCCAACTAGAAGAATAGCTGTCGTATTCAAATTTTTTAAGACAAAAGAAATTATTTTGCAGTAATTCAATTACGCATTATTTAAATTTCTTTCTGTAACCTAATGACATGATGAAATGCACTTAATTTATTCTATCAAATTTGCCTTGAATTAACTCTTATTTTATTTTTTTTTTTTAAACATCAAAAAAAAATTTTTACTAGTTATGAACTAGTCAGATATTTGCTTACAGAAAAATAGTTCTATTTCATAGTTTTGAGTTTCAAAATCAAGTGAAGAGAAAAACGTTAAATTAATTTTGACCAAGAAATTCAATACATTATTCAATTTAATATATTTATTGTGGAGCGTTTGTAAGTAGCAATTTTAAATTTGATATCAAATATTTTTACTTGGGAAATAACTAAAACAGTATTAGGAAGACCACAAAGTGAAATGTATCTAAACTTAAAAATTAACAAAACGTAGGAAATATACAGAAAAAACACTTTTTTCTATTTGTGAATATTCGTTATCTGATACTCCCGGTGACATTTTGTTTTGTTTGGTAAATATTAATATTTATTTCAGATATTTTTTCTTTTACTGTCATACTCGGCTTCCGTGAAAGCAACACCGAAAGCCAAATACAAAAATAAATTTGAACACAATTTTAATGCAATCTAAACAAAACTAGCAATCCTCCGCGTTCCTGCAACGCACCTTAGAGTTACTGATGCTTAGGAATATAAATAAAGTAGACTTTACTTGACCAACAGCTCGAGTCACCATAGTAAAACCTCAGCTGGGGAAAATTTCAGAGATTTTATTTAGAATCCTTGTTTAAGTGTTGCTAAGTGGATATTCAAGTGTTGTTAAAAACACTTCGGTTGAAATTTAATATTTCAGTACAAAGAGGGCAGTATCCTTACCATATATTAAAAATAAAATTTATTCAATAGAAACAAACAATTTTAAATACACGAATGAATTCTATTTATACAAAATTAACTTCTTTTGATTTTTTAAAATTTACTTCTTCGGGCAAATATTTTTTCTATATAAAATTACATCTTTTTTTTGAGTAGTTCTAACTTAATGTACTCAAATTTCTATATCAAAACTGTTGAATTAATATTTACCATGCCAGGTTAAACAAAGATACTAGTCTTAAGACTAGAATTAGGCATTTTATGACTTATTTGGTCAAATAAGATACAAAGCGTACAAGTTAACTGCTTTAACTTAAGTATAAGCTACATAGCACTAAGGAATCGATCTTTCCAGGTCATTGTGAATTACGAGAAAGATGTGTAATGAGTTTTGGTGTATCTTATAATGACATTTGTCATAGCTGTGACTTAGCTGATGAGAAGAAGCTCTCTCTCTCTGTCTTATGTGTCATCATTTCCATTTAGTAAAAGATTTAATATCTTTCAAACCTATCTACCTTTTCGGTAAAGAAAGCTTTACTGATCTAATAGCGCTCTCAGCTTCAAAATGAAGAACGTTGCCATTTATAGACTTGTCTGTTTGAATCACTTTCAGTTTAAAAGTGCAGTTGTGCATACTTATTTTGCTGGACCTCTTGACCTAGCGTGTATTAACTTTCTGTCCATAGGTATAACAAGAGGCTTGTTTTGTACTGAAGTACTTAATTTAACCAAACCATGTGTTATACTATTTAAAATTTAAACATCTATTTAAAACATAATCCCAACAAAACTAATTCTTAACGTAAGTGATTTTGTGCTAGCGTTCGAAATTTATTCCAGCTGAGATTAAATAATTTCATTTTGGTCGGTACCAGGTGATGGATGACCTGGCAATGTACTATTTTTTCACATTTACACTATAAACCAGTGAATGTAAAATAAAGCAAACACTATAATATTCGAAACACATTAAGTATTTGAGTTCATGAACGCACACAAAAACAGTACACTAAAAATAAAATCCGCATATTCCAAACACTAAAAAAGAGTACTGTTTCCGACATTTCACATAAAATGTTAAGTGGTAGTGGAGGTAGTGAAATAATGATCCTTAAACGAACGTAGTGAAATTTTGTAACAACCTTTTTACTTACAAAATGAACTTTTTAGTGTGCATAAAAAGATCAGTAAAGTATTTTAGTGTTCGTTAAGAAAACGTTTTGTAGTTTCGTAGGAAGAAAATTATTTTGGTGTTTGTGTGTACTGTTAAATAAAAATATTAAATATGCATTTATTGAGAATTTATATTGAATTAAGTGAAGTATTGCAAAGATATGATACTTTGTGCTAAATTAGTGATTTGTATTTATAATAACAATAAGCAAAAAAATATATTTTACTAAATATTTTAATTAAATATTTTAATATTAATTAGTGTTTTTTAATAGAAATACAAAACATACTATGTTTGATTCTGAACAGTTTATTTGCGTTGACTATTGTAAGCAAATGTGGCCAGTCAGATATTCGATAAAATAAATAGGTCAAAATATTATGCTTTTGCATCTCACAGTTTAAGTATCTTATTTCAATTATATCAAATATATTGTGCAATTTATGAAACAAAGATAATAGCAAATTATGCAATTCAAAATTTACTCTTTTCATAATAAATTCTAAATGATTAAAAATAATTATTATCAAGATAATCATATTGTAATATTGTAACTTATCATGTAAATGATTTGCATTCGAAATGTAACTCCATCAACAAAAATTTATTACAAATACTAAATACTCATGTGGCATATTAAGGCTAAATATAAAATTATTATTTCTCATTTATTTATTTATTACAATATTTGTATCATTTTCATAAATACAAATATAAACTTTAACATTTTATCTATAATACCAATATCAAAAATATAGTACATATAAATTATACATTATATATTCTTATTGATTTCATCTCTTATTGATATTGATTTAAACCAAAAATTATTAATTGAGCTATAGATTTAAACTTAAATTTTATATTCAACAATAGAGAATACTATTGAAATTTAAAAGCTTGTAAAAATTAAAAATTTATGAGAAAATCAAATTTAACATTTCTTCTCTTATATGTGGGAAGGATGAAAATTCAATTCCCAACAGCAAATTTTCATTGTCTTAAGTAAAATTATGCCTGTAAACCATAAAAGTATGTTTTGCATAAGCAAAGTACAGTAAATGCCAGAGAAGTTCATTGAAGAAGTATCTCAACAACGCTCAACAACTTAATCGTACATAATCTACTTTAAATTTTACTCAGTCTTTAAAGCTTTTACAAAATAAGCTAGTTAAGATATTGCCTAAAGGTTAGCAGTTAGTACTTCAAGGAATTACGTTTTTTTTTTAATTAAAATCTATTTAAAAGCATAAAACACTTGTGTTAGCACGTATCTAAGCATTGCATA